GTGGCGTAGCACAGTTTATTCCTGTTTTTGGCAAAGTGTGCATGGCATGACTTCTGGCACCTTCTCTCCCCTCTAGTGGTGTGAACTTGGCACATGGCTTAGCTTCTCTTTTAGCCTTGCAGAGTTGTTCTGAGGATTAGTTGAGTTAATACTTGTAAAAGACAGAAAGAGGAGTGGCTTGTAGTAAGTACTCAATTAATGCCAGCCATTATGACTAGTAGATAGGTGTCAAAGATATAGTGTTAAAGTGAAAAAAACACAAGATACAAAACTACGTATCATAAGAAGGGCTTGCACTAGTGCATTCTTATAAGTGCCAAGGAAATATCTGAGGATACACGGTGGTTACTTCTGATTAATAGGACTGGGGCTTAGAGAATGGTAGGCAGGTGCCTTTATTTTTTCATCTCGTATTCTTGTAATAGTTGATTTTTTTAACTGTGCAACTATATATTTATCTAATAATAAAGTCACAAAGAATAGTTTAGAAACTCCATTAATATTATCTAATATGTCAATTTTAAAGAAAAACAATTATTTCATTATAATCTTTTTTCATGATTTTATTCACTGTTAAGTTTGGAGATACCATTTAGAAACTTGTCTTGGGGTATAATATATATATATCTTCAGTCCAGCAATTAATTCAATCTTCATTTCTTTTGTTTATGCTGTGTTCAACCACAGCTTATAAAATCACATGTTATATATGCATAACCCATGAACACAAGACAAGAGTGCAGTGAAGACCTGGGGAGGGGTCAGGAGCAGGGTGGAGGGGTCAGTGGGGGAAAAGAGAGGACATCTGTAATACTTTCAACAGTAAAGATTTTATATATATATATATTCGCATGCTATCATGATCCCACTGGTGTGAAGTGACTCTCCATGTTCCTCCATCTACATGTGCATACAGAGAGTTATCGGGAATGCTGTTCTCCCACAAAATATAAACAATGCATTTGGTTCACTTGTTGCTGACTTCATTGTACTTTTTTTAAAAAAATATATTTTTTATTGATTAAGAAATTACATATGTGTCCTTGTCCCCACGTGACCCTCTACCCCCCCCACTCTTGCCCTCCCCCGCCCCTGTTGTCCGTGCCCATTGGTTAGGCCTATATGCCTGCATGTAAGTCCTTTGGTTGCTCTTTCCCCTTTACCCACACCCTCCCCTACCCTCCCTCCAAAGCCCAACAGTCCAATCAGTGCCTCTCCATCTCTGGATCAGTCCTTGTTCATCAGTTTATGTTGTTCCTTATATTCCACAAATGTACTTTTAAGCATTGCTTAAATGTTTTATAATGAGCATTTTTATTAAAACAATGACATCATTTCTAAAAATTGGAGGTGAGGAGTATTAGTTCACTTCGTTCATTAGTAGCAAACACAGTATCCAGCATCTAATCTTTCCTAGGAATTCAGGAAACAACTTCTTCAGGATCTCCATGATCAAGGTCCATAGCTATCGCTCAGGAAAGAGGAGGCAAGTGGGCCCAGTAGTTACTGAATGAGGATGTAGGAAATGTTTTCAATAACTAACAGATAGGTCTGTCAAGCCCCACCCCCTTTCTTTTTTTAAGTGGAGGTTCTTTATGTTTAAGTAAAGACATTGATGGATAGAATTGGTACTTATCAATAGTTTACTCTGACCAGTTAAGAATCATTAATTCTGTACAGGGCTGCAACATGGTTACTTTGATCATTTAAATATGACTCTGACTCTTCTTTTTCCACAGTGCTCACACCCCACTGTTATCAATCAGATAAGAGCACAAATCAGGAGAGAACTTTAGCTCCCTAGTAAATACCTTATGAAGCCAATGTGAGCTTGCCAACTAGATTATCATCTCTGCAGAAGATACATTTCCAAGCAGTCACTGTATTATACAGTACTTAGCACGCGGGGCCCCTCAGGATATGATGATAAATGTCTGTATAGAAGAAATAACAATTTTCAAGAAACTGCAACGAAGCTGATTACCAACTGATTTTTTAAATCAGGGCCAGGAAATGATGGTCCATGGGCCAAGTCTGTCCCGTGACTTAATTTGCACAGCACAGGAGCTAACAATGGTTTTTGCATTTTTTTTAATTAATTTAAAAAATCAAAAGTAGAAAAGCATTTCAGGTCAGGTGAAAATCCTTTGAAAGTCAAATTTCCTGTCCCTAACTAAAGTTGTAATGGAAACACAACAGGATCATTCCTTTACATACCTTCTACAGCTGCATTTGCACTCAAAGGGTGGAGTTGAGTCTTATGACAGGAGATCCTAAGGCATGATGAAAATATTTGCTTTCTGACTCCCTTTAGAAAAAGTTGGCTGAGCCCTGCTTACTCGAGTGCATGTCTGTTTGCTGGTGAATAAATAATGCTTTTGTGTTAGACACAGACCTGTTGATGTGGCATCAGAGAAGCTGTAATCTTCGACTTTCCTCACTTCCTTCCGGAGTCAAAAGATAGTTACTGTGTGACTACGGAGGGACTGTGAGTTACTAGTACATCATGGTAACAAATGGAAAAGACCTACATATCGCCTCCAAAAGTGATGGATTATAATCTAATTTGAAACTTAAATAGCATTAGTAGTTCCTATATTTCAAAATGTGTAGTTACTTCCTTTCTGTGTCTGAGAAATCTTTTGAAAAGCAAAAACCTCTTATTCTTGTGACTTTTACAAAATGCAGAGCCTTATCAGTTGGGCCTTGTGCTCAGTGGCATTATCATAGTGAATGGTTTTAATTGGTTTTTACTTGTATTTGGCTGTCACTAGGATATGATAAACATATGAACAATGGGAAATATGTTTCAGTAGAATGTCTAAATCTTGATAGGGTATCCTGCTCATTTGCTGTGAAATGGTCATTAATGACTGGCATTGGCCCTCATATTATATATGAAAACATATTATATATGAAAACATGAAATTAATATAAAAGTCAAACTGCTACCAGTGAAACAGTGTTACCACTAGCACCATAAAATATTACCAAACTGGAAACACAAGTCATTTTGATTCAGAATCCCCACTGTGTACATGACTGACCTCAACTGTCCCCTCTTGTTTTGTTGTTTCAGAGGCTGAAGGCCGCGTTGACTCACCACCCTGCTGCCATGTCAAATGGGAATATGAATACCATGGGACACATGATGGAAATGATGGGCTCCCGGCAGGACCAGACGCCGCACCATCACATGCACTCCCACCCGCATCAGCACCAGACACTGCCAGCCCATCACCCCTACCCACACCAGCACCAGCACCCAGCTCACCACCCCCATCCTCAGCCTCATCACCAGCAGAACCACCCGCATCATCACTCCCACTCCCACCTTCATGCACACCCAGCACATCACCAAACCTCGCCACATCCACCCCTGCACTCCGGCAACCAAGCACAGGTAGACCCTTTTTGTGATCTCTTCCCCCTTCCTGTTAACAGTACAAGCTCTAATGGGGGGTCATGGGCAGCAACTTTGTTTGACCAGCCCCGATGTTCTATCTAACACTCTGGGGAGCTTTGTTCATTTCCTAGGAGGTAATGGCTACCCATAAAATACTACCAGATCATAGTTTCTATAAGTAATACAGTAAATTTTAGCTCTAAACTCCAGCGACAAATGTAAAGTTCAAGTTCTCCAAAATCTCTTTCTGCAGTGTGTTATGAAGTTAACCCTAAAAATGTATTATCAATGTGAAGAGTAGGAAGAATTTAAGCATGTGAAGAAAAGTATGGGTAAAGAATCAGAAAAATAGGTTAATGCTAACTATGGTTCTAGCTACAGTGCTTCAAAAAATTATAAAGACTCCATTTTGTCTCCTGTAAAATGGAAGTTAAATACAATGGGCAATATTCTAAATAACATTACATGCTAAAAATCTAAAGAGTAACAATTCCAGGCAGACAAAGAGGCTCGGTAATGGATGTCGGGGCATAAGGTGCTGTGTAAATGGTGAAGAAAGGTGAGTCATCCCGCCCACTGTGAAATGCGTTGGAGGAGCGGACAGAGAGCCAAGCTCTGTAGATCATCAGTTCAAGAGAAGGGCCAAGTCCCAGGGGGTGGGAGTCACCAGGAGTGGCTAGAAAGGAAGCCAGCATTTAGACTCAACTGAAAGAGAGTTGGGGGACCAGGCAGACATTATGTCACCCAGCCCAACAGGAGAGGCGGGTCCGTGTATCCGAGTGAGTTTTAGTAAGTGGATGAGGGGCATGTTCGGAGTATGGCTAGCCCTAGACACTTTGGATCTTCAAGAAGGATGACCTTTGGCAGTCCCCTCCACCCATTCCACTCTGCCAGCTTCCAAGCAGCTGGGTCAGAATGGTGTCCGAAGCTTAGGACCGCCAAGTAACACTTATTCATCGTCTGCCTCTGGACCTCACACCGGGCAGCTTCTTGAGCTCTTGGATCCCCTTCCCTAACACACACCAAACCTGGACAGCCACCCACATGGCTGGGTCATCCACAAGCTATTCAGTAGATACGCTGATTTGCTAGATAAGCTTACTTTTGCAAAGGTTCTTAGAGGTGTTCAATATAGCAAATGACAGTGCAGGCTTTGGAGGAAACTTCCATTCTTTGCCCACTTTACTTCCTCCTCTGGTGGAAGTGGTCAGATTAACCTCCCTAAGCCTCAGTCTTTCCATCTGCAAAATGGGGTAATAATAGACTAAGTTTATAGAGTCTTAGGAGCATTAAGTAAGCAAATGTCTGCAAAGCCCTTAGCATGGTTTTCATTACATGTTGGCCATGATTACTTCTAAAGCCAAGGAATGTGATAGAAGTTGAGCAAGAGCATAGCAATAAAATACTATCCAAAGCACCTTTATAGTCAAATGCCCTAGTGGGGCATGTATTTAGAAGGGAGAAAGAAAACTGTAAGGTCAAAAATAGGCAAGGAGATTCACATGTGTACTTATTTTTTAAGGGGAAGGATAACATCAAATTTTGGTTGCCTTGGTGTACAGACAAGTTTAACAGTTCCTTGAATATAAAAGCTGCTCATTAACTAATTATCAGTTAGCCAATTGCTCTCCATTTCAAGTAAGCTTATATAGGCCAATTATACTATATGCAGTTAGTTCATTGCTATTATAATTAGATGCACAAACAGTTGTTTTTTTATCCTATACTAAAAAGAAAAAAATCCAAGTTGGTCTTGTTAAAATTTGAACAAGATCATTTAGACGGTATTGAAAATACCACTCTTAAACTTAGCTAATTTCTGAGAGCTTGTCGTATTGCTTAATTGTATGATTATTATCAGAATAGTAGGAATAGAAGTTTATTTGGGGTTGTTGTTTTTTTAATCCTCACCCTGGGATATGTTTCCATTGATTTTATTTTACTTTTTTTTTTTAAATAGACAGTGGAAGGTAGAGGAAAGAGAGAAAGAGAGAGCAACAGCAATGTGAGAGAGACACATTGATTGGTTGCCTGCTGCATGTGCCCCAGAGTGGGAACCAAGCCTGCAACCCTGCAACTGAGATATGTGCTCTTGACCAGAATTAAACCTGCAACCCTTCATTTCTCGGGCCGACGCTCTAACCACTGAGCCAAACCAACTAGGGCTGAAGATGATTTGGAAAAATTCCGTCTTTTTAAAATCACAATTCATTCTCTTCGGTCAAAATTTTCAGAGCATCAATACCAACAGAAATCCATTTTTTAAAATAAAGTGATAGGTAACAGTATTACCAGGGACACAAATCTGGCCTTAGGGTTGCATTTGCAATTTCTCCTGGCTTTTTGTAATTCTCTTGAATGTAAGGATGTGATTTCAGAGTCCTGGTGTCACTCCTTGGCCAGGAGAAATTTCTCTTAATTGTAGCACACCTTGAACCCCGAACCTGGACCAAATCTGAAGCCACCATATAACTTACCCCTTTGGGTGAAGCAAGGAAAAGTGTCAGAAGATGGCTGGCCCATGTGGTTCAGTGGTTGAGCATTGACCCATGAACCAGACGGTCACAGTTTGATTCCCAGTCAGGGCACATGCCGGCTTGCAGGCTCGATCCCCACTAGGAGGCAGCCCATCTATGATTTTCTCTCATCATTGATGTTTCTATCTCTCTCTCTCTCCCTCTCTCTGAAATCAACAAAAGCGTATTTTTTTAAAAAGTGTCAAAGGATAAAGGTTGGTTAGAGTGGGAGAACATAGTATTGAAAAAAGATCCCTGCAGTGGAAATGAAAACCCAGTTTTGCCTACTTGAGAGTCTTATCTAGAGACCACTAATCCACAAAATGAAATGGTAAAGGCAGACATAGCCAAGGTCACGAGTTCCCTCTAATGCTTTGCTCTGTGGTGATAGCTCAGAAGTTAACATCTGAAAGGACAAGAGCTAACCCTTTTCCAGTAACAGGGATCATGCCTTTGTATCCACTCAGGCGGGGTAATACCTTAAACAAGTTATTTCCTTATTCCTCTGTGATGGGGAGAAGGAATCAACAATAAAACATTTTAGAAAATGTCTTCGCTTTAAATAAAATTGCCAAGAGGCAGTCCAACCTCAAGCCCGAGCGGGATGCTTTCGCAGTTAGTCATACAATGTTTGATAGATTTTGGGATTGAAATATATCACCAGCAGTCAGCTGATGTCAACCAGTGGCCGTTATTAGCACAATTACAGTCATTCTGATTGATTTCAATCACAGGGTTAGAATGCGGTGGAAAAGGTTGCTGGAATTCACTTTTAAAACTTTTGCCTGTTATTTCAGCAGGTTAAATGTCCCTTGAAAAACAACTTTATAGGTATTACAGCCTTAAGCTGGAGTGACTGAGAAATGGGGGCGGGGGGCGGGGGCGGGGAGGAGAAACACCCTTTTTTGAGAATGAAGAAGGGGAGTGAAGAAAGGGTTAGTGTCCAGAGACATAAAGAGTCCGTGGTAGAAAGTTCACTGGGCACTGTGTATCAGCCTCATGGAGGGAATAAGCCTGTGTTTGTGGGGGTCTCCCAAACCTTAGATGTGGCTGAGCCCCAAGCAGATCTTACAGGGACTCTATAAGCACAGTAAAACATTTTAATAAAGTGCTTTGCCACTCCTCGGATTTCCTTATAATGGCTGTAAATGGGGAAGCACAACAGTCCCTCCCTGTCAACCACGCCGTGTATAAGAGGGCTCAGTGCTGCTCAATGCCTACTTGTAAAGACCCTGCTTCCCAATCGCCTCGAAAGGCCTCCTCTGACTCCCTCCGCCTTCGTCACACCCTGAAACAGTGAACACAGGATTCCAACTGCTTTCGGGGGTTCATGGGATCTTCTGAGGGGAGTGACAGTGGGATGAGGTCCCAGAGCTGTGCCCTGGGAACAGAGTTGAACAGCATGAGGATGACAGGAGCTCCTGACCTGCCCAGACGAGGTTGTCCGCTGACGACAGCAGACTCTCCATATTGTGACACTAACCCTGACCTCTTGGTGCTCACCTGCACACTGGCACTTTACCATTTTAAAACGTACCTTAAATAAAAGAGTTTTAGGACCTGAAGGAGGAGAAACAATGTGTCCCTCTGCCAGGGTTCAGCCAGTGCCTGTAGCAGGGGTGGGCAAACTTTTTGACTGGAGGGCCACAATGGGTTCTTAAACTGGACCGGAGGGCTGGAACAAAAGCATGGATGGAGTGTTTGTGTGAACTAATATAAATTCAAAGTAAACATCATTACATAAAAGGGTACGGTCTTTTTTTTTTTTTTTTTTTTTAGTTTTATTCATTTCAAACGGGCCGGATCCGGCCCGCAGGCCGTAGTTTGCCGACGGCTGCGTAGGGGAAAATCCATCTTTTCACAAGTCATCAGTTTATCTTGTCAAAATATCATGCAAGATAGCTTAGTGGATGCTTTTGCTTTCTGTGAGCTCAAGAGCTGTCACTGCTTACTGCACTCTTAGAAAACCTGTTTGAGATGCTACTAAAGCCATGGACTGGGCTGCGCTCCACCCCCCATCCCAACCTGTCATCCCTCCTTCTGCTTCCCAGCAGGTTTCACCAGCCACACAGCAGATGCAGCCAACCCAGACAATACAGCCGCCCCAGCCCACAGGGGGGCGCCGGCGAAGGGTGGTGGATGAGGATCCGGATGAGAGGAGGCGGAAATTTCTGGAACGGAACCGGGCCGCCGCCACCCGCTGCAGACAGAAGAGGAAGGTCTGGGTGATGTCACTGGAAAAGAAAGCTGAAGAACTCACCCAGACAAACATGCAGCTTCAGGTGCAGCCACTGTCCCTCTTCTCAGCCCTCAAAGGCCCTGTGTGCACATGGCACTTCCTGTCCCTGCAGCACTCGTTGCCCCGAGCAGTAACATCACACATCAGCCCACAGAGCAACAGGCTCCCTCCGCCAGCGTTATTCATTCGGGACTCTGCAGAGCACAATAAGCCATTCAGTTTTCAGTCCGTCTGCCTGTAAAGCTCTAGGAGGGAGAACCTGCCCCATAAGCCACAGAGCTGGGAGCACGGGCCTCGAAGGGTCCCACTCTGGCTCAGCAATTACTTGCTGTGTTTACTCTCTCCAGCTCTCAGTTTCCTCATCTATAAAATGGGAAAATAACCCCATAGAGTTGCTGGGAGGGATAAATGAATTAATGTGTGCAAAGCCATTTGCCCCATGCCTGGCACATCATCAGTTTTCCACTTCTACAAAGTCACCAGTGAGGGGTTGCTTTGGCTAACACAGGATTATCTATATTTTTGTTTAAAGGAGGAAAGGGAGGTTCGTGTTTCTTACTTAGCTCTATAAGAAGAGACATGTTTCTCATTTTCAAACTTGAGATTTTAATCTTGCACGGTTTGTTCCTTCCAGGGGTGGCTCCACAGGGGACATTTTAGAGGCCACTTCAGGAGCATTTTGATAGAATGGTGGGGAACGCCGGGGCGGGCTTCTCAGGCAGGTGCGCGCTGTGGAAATGATGAGTTCAGGGCATTTGTTCTGACACAGAAAGCAGCACCCTGTTCACAGCAGGGAAAAACTCTAAAGGGATGTGACCAGCAGTCTAGGGGCAGCGCCATGGGTGGTAGCCCAGCACGTCCAGGAGCTGAGAGATGGCTGAAGAGGAGGGAAGGAGAGGAAGAGCTGGGGAAGAGCTGTTTCTCAGAAGTTCATAGGTCACCTTCCGTTCCCATACCAGGTTCTCTGTGCATCCTTAGAAAGGAGCAATTAGGGTGCCAAATCCCCAAAGCCTTTGCATATACAGTTCCATGAATGGGAATGACCTTGGGGCATCCAATGTACAAGTTGAAAATATACAAAGAAAATTTTGGTGATACATGGACTGAATATCATAATTAATGGATGTTCACTCTTCCCCCTAAATGTACCATTCTTTGTGTGATAGACATGAGAAAGAACCTGAGAAACAGGTAGAGCAGATAGGAGGGAAATAAAGCAATAATTATAATTATTCCTCCCAATATTTTATACTATATGAAGGTGGGGGCTATGTCTCATTGCCTTCCCCCACCACCTACCTCCCCATTTCCAGCCTAGTGTCTCGTTAGCATGGTGAATTCTGAGTGTCTGCACTCAGCATCTGTTGAACAAGTGAATGCATTCCCTGTCTCTGGAGTGCCCCAAGAGCTGGCTGCCTGGCCACTTGGCAGTAATGCATTTGGAGGGAGTGGAGCCACAGTGAGATGGCTGGACTTAGACACCTCAAGAGTCACTCCAGCCTGCGAATCTGTAATTCTAGAATCTGGCAGGCACGGTAGCATGCGAGGAGGTAGAGCGTGGACAAACACTCTTAATACTCATAGTACTCATTTTTATTTTATGTGTATTGAAAAATGTCATTAGAACATCAAACCTTCAATTTCACAAACCCTATTGGTAAGGATGAGGCTAAATCATTACAAAATGAGTTAATTCGTACAAACATGTTAAGTAAATAAGAGTCGTGGTGGATGTGGACCTAGCAAATATTACAGCCATGGTGCCGCTCTGACCAACGGCTGGGAGGCCTTTAAATTTGCTACCAGGTCTGAGGTCTGCAAGAAGACCGTGAAAATCTGCAGGGTTTCTGTCTTGACAATGTTGACTTTTGGGCTCGGTACTTCTCTGTTGTATCCTGTGTGTGGCACATGTTTTGCAGTATCCTTGATCACTCCCACTGGATATCAGTAGCACCCTCTACCCCGCCCCCCATTTGCGACAACCAAAAAGTCTCCAGGTGTTGCCAAATGTCCTCTGTGGGGGCAAAATCGTCCCGGGTTGAAACCACTGCCTTAGACGAAGGAGCCAGCTGGCATGGATCAGATGCCAACAAATGTTTAAATCAGTTTCCACTAAAATGAGTCCTTGCAGAATGACTCCAGGCATTGACTGTGGTCCTGGAGCATGAGAACACGGAGGGTCCCAGCAGAGAGCCAGGGAAAGTAAAGATGCCATGGACCTCGAGGCCAGATGTGTTCATGATTTGGCCAGATACATGTAGATTATTGCTTTTACAAAAACAGATAAGGTACATTTACCCTTTACGGGCCCTAATCCATGAATTTTTACATTTCTTTAGGGCCAGCATGGGTAATGAAAAGAAATGTTAGAATTCTTGTCCCTGAAAATCAACCAACCAACAGGTACCAAGATTTGGGGTTGGTGAAGCAGTGCCCACGGAAGGGGCTGTCTCTGAAAAGCCTGCATTGTTGATGTTTTCCAGTCACTGCTTGGTTCAGAGGGACAGAAACCACACGGTTGCCTTTTTCTGTGCTGGTGGGTGCTCTGCCCCACGCCTCGTGACGCCGAAGAGGGTAGCAGCTCCCGCTACCTCTGAGTGACCCTTTCCCTCTCAGTGGACCTTTGTCAGAAGAAAAAGGTGTCTCTCTTGAGGCTGGTTCAGTGAGCCAAATTTTAAGTAAACAGAAATGGAAGGTGCTAAGCAAACAAACTCCAGCCAAATGGAATATCCAAGGTCTGGATGGCCAGCTGCCACTTTTGAGTTGTTTTCCAGCATAGAACCTTCTAGTTAGGTTGCAGAGTTTCAGATTGGAAAAATCAGACCTAAGAAAACAAAGTCAAACTCCCAGACCTCATTTCCTTGCCTCCTGACATATCTCTACCCAAGAGGTCGGTGCAGGTATAGAATTGAGGGAGATGGGAGACGCCACCCAATCTGACATTTTGTTTAGGGAGAAACTAAGGCTCAGGGGACGTGAGGAGTCTTCCCACAAGTCACACAACCAGCCAGTAGCAGGATGAGGACCCAAGTAAGTCTTCTCTTGACCTAATCCCTCTTGCTCTGTGTCCTTTTATTCTAGAAAGTTCTGAAACTAAAGATACTCACATTCTTTTCTCTGACAGAGTAGCTAAGATCAGCTCTAAATTCCTCAGCTGCTGATGTGGGGCTACGTGAGTAGACTGTTTGTGTTCGATGCATGATATGGAAATCATCTGGTCACCCACTGAAATAATTGCTTTTCTCTTTTAGTACAGAGACACATGGCCTAAGTCGCTGCTGAAATTTTAGACACATGAGCCCAGGTTTGGGACTTGGCAAGAGAATAGGCCAGATGGGAACTGTTGCTTGACAAATTGAAAGTCCTTTGTTTCGGAATGAACCAAACCTGGCTTCAGCTAATCTACAAAAAGAAGTGGGGGAGGGGCTATGTTGCAGAGCCCATTTTGATTTGATTTGATTTTTTTGGCACAGACTACTGTTTGCATCAATAAGCATTCTGGGTTTATCATATTAACAGAATGACATCCCCCAAGCTCAAAACTGCAACTGTAGCTTTGAGGGACTTCTTGGAGTGCTTATTTAAAGTATATTATTATAGGATTGAATGTCTCTGTAGGGGGCGCTACTTCATCCCAAGGCAACTGATGGATTTAAAAACAGATTAATCCAATAATATTTCGTCTACCTTCTTACAGTCTCTATTTAAATGGCTGACTAGTTCAGTTAGCAGCAAACCCAAACCAGCTAAGATGGGCTGATTTCCGCAGGAGAATCAGTACTGATTAGTACTGCTCTGCTTTCTCGAAGTACTTTTATATGAAGACCTTACACTATTATAACCTACACAGGGAGTCAAAAAGAAAAAAAATGGTGAGTTGCCTCAATTTACAAAGCAAGGTAACTCAGAGTAAGAAAATGCCTGCAGAGGTCCTGGTTTTTATTTCCCTAGAGCTGCAGGCCGCATTGATTTCTTTCATGAATTTCAAAACATTTGCTATCTGGTTGTTCTCTTTCTAAATGAATTCAAGGTGATTCTACTTATGTTACCTTGGACAGCTTTTTGTTTAAAAGAGAGTCTGGTATTTGTGCATTTCCTACCTGTCAGGCTATCGATCCCGAATCTGTAGGGCAATTATGCATGTGCACAGCATCCACTCTGCAGCCAATCTTGACATTTCTTAACCCGCAGCCTCCATCATGGACTCTGATGAAGGTTCTATACACTCACAATAATACACACACACACACACACACACGCACGCACGCACGCACACACACACGGACATGGACACCAAATTCTGCATTAAAGAAACTATTAATGTTGCTTTGGAATCTGATAAGATTTGGAAGCATAGGAGGTGCTACAACTACTCCCATAGAAAATATGAGTCTTAAAAGATAAGCATGTTTGAGAATACCAAAAGTAGTTAACCAACGACTAAACAGTCAAGATTGAGTTCTTCATTAGATTATTAGGCAATTAACTTTCTCAATAGAAGGTAACACAGAAACACTCAGACAATAAGGAACTACCTTGCAGGAAAGAACTAGAGAACTAGTCCAACCATCTTGTTTTACATTTGGTTGGGGAGGCAGCTTGGGACGCCAAACCCTATTATTCTTAACTTGCAGTTAAGAGTTCCTTTTCCTTTGGAAACTTGCCCCATGAATTTCTGTGGCCATTAGACTTTTATTTAGTCCTTATCAGCATCGTAATTATGTGTGTATGGGCTAGACAAGAGACTGATTGTTTTGCTCTACCGAGAATATTAATCGCCATTCATTTCCCAACCACAACATGGCTACTAGTAAATAACATAATTACTAACACATTACATTAAGAAATATGTCCATATCCACATATATCTTTAAATGATGGCCAGTTGTCCCAGTATTTTTCAAGTTCCCACATTTTTACAGACTTTCACAACTCCTAGGGCCTCAGTTTCCATACTTACAACATACAGATTTATTAATAAAGTGCTTTGCTCTCTACAGACAAAAATGCCACTGCAGTCGTATGTTCTGTATGGGGCTTCGGTTATAGTCAGGGACACCACATGTGCATAGTGGTGATTGGTGCTGTTTTATCATGGCCTCTCATGGAAGCAAAAGGTTTATTGTGAAATGATTTGGGGTGTGCCAAGAATTGTGGGCAGTTAGCTCCTTGCAACTGCAGAAACCCAGAGAACGGAATTCCAAGTGTTTTCCTAAGGAAGAGGCAAAGAACACTGGGTGCCTGGGAAGTTGGGAAGTCAAACGTGCCTAGACAGGGGACTGCCCAGGGCATCGTGGGGGAAGAAGTGGAGACCAAGATGAAGCTTTTGAGAGGGCCACAACGTAGAATTTTTTTCTTTCACCCCGAAGCATAAGAAAGCAAGAAAACCCTGTTGTTTGGTTTTGTTGGAAACACTTTCCTCATTTGTTGTTTCCTAGGTCACAGAAGGACAGTGTGGGTGGACGCACTAAAACTTGGAACTTGACTCCACTTTCTTAGCGCCTTTGTCTGCATTACCTGTGGCTGAGAGTTTCTCCTTGGGGGGCAGGGGTCCAGCAGTTGTCATTTCAGAAAGGGGTCATTTCTGTATCCCACTAAGAGTTATGTGACAGTTGGCAGCTGGGCTCAATATTCACACATTTAGGTTTCTTTTTCTCCTTTTCAGTTTTGTTTTGTTTGTTGTTTTTAACCCGGGACTGCCTTCTATATAATGATCTAGAAGTAGCTTTCTTTATACATGCTATTTTAAGCAGAGGGGTAGCTGGTACAAGCAGGGGAAGCTGTCTGAATTTAAATGGGCATGAAATCAGAGGAAAGAATTCGTGTTTAGAGCTAAAATAAATTGTCCTATAAATAAAGTTGTCCCACTGACCCCGGAATTGACAAGGGTCACTTTTGGTTTTGACAGGGTCCCTGATCAATCACACTCATTTGGAAGCAGGAGGTAAAATTCACCTTGCTGACTGTTCTCAGATTTAGGAGCAATTTTCCTGTGCCATGAAGTGATTTATTCATTAATAATGCTAATTTCTTCCATAGATCTTTTTCTTTTTTTGTAAATTTGAAAGTAAGAAAAGCTCTGAAATGAGATTTTTTTGTTATTTATGTTACTCAACATTTGATTGCCTATAATGTATTTTGCTAATAAATGTGGAGATGGGAGGTATTGTTTAAAACAAGTTTCAAAAAAATTTTTTAATTAACTTCTAGAATCCCAAACTTACTTTTCTAGGTGATAAATACATGCCTGGAAAGCCAAGCTCATATTGAAAGTGTAGCTACAACTTAATGACAGCAATGTTAAAACACCTTTCCTGTGTGCGTGTTTCTTTAACGTCTCCTATGAGCATAATGCCTGGCAGCCACTAATGAGCACAGGCCGGAGAGAGGGTGTTATGTATCACAACTGTAAAATGGCTTATTTGAGATAGTGCTATGTTTCTAGTTTACTTTTATCAAGTGGAAGCACCTTGGAACTAACCATCTCTTCTGAGTATTTGTAGGCAATGGTGCCAAGTAAATTATTCTGCAAAGTCATGGGCTTGTCGTTTGAATTACCACATTGAGTGGAGATCTAAGGCACGTATTTAAGTGAATAAGGAAAATTCACATACAAACCACAACACCCTGCTGATGGCGGGAGGTGGAAGGGGCGCAGAGGAAGACTTTATAGACTGAAATTAGCCAAACTAATTAATGAACCCATGAAATTAATTCTGTCATGATCCAGAAGTTCATGGCCCCATGCCTCCCTGGGCTGACCTCACCCACCATCCAGGACCAATATTTGCGCCAGACCTCCATGCCTCCTGCTAAGTGGGTGTCAGGCAGGGGATATGCTCTGTTGAACTATAGCCCATTTGGAACTTCGGGGAAATCTGGTGGTAGATTGGTCAGCTTATCCTGAGGGTATTTCAGATGGAAGCCCTACAAGTCTTTCCATTGCGTCACATTCACCTTCTCATCAACCTGACCTTGTCAGACAGTGTAAAGATGATAATTACCGTAACTAAATTTTATTGTGTGCTTACTATGTGCTAGGCATTGTTCTGAGTGTTTTACATCTACGATCTCATTTAATCCTCGTGACAACTCAAAGAACTTTGTGCTGTTCTGATCCCCATCTTATAAAAAATGTTACTGGAGCTCACTGGGTTACATCACCTGCCTGGAGTCCCTCAGTGAGTGTAGAGTGGAGATTCCCACCCAAGGAACCTGGCCCCAGAGTAAACCTAAGTGGTAGACTCTGCACTTTTGCTAGGACCCAGCTCCTGAATGGAAACCTAGCCTCTGCAGAAAGTCCCAGGAAAACGTGAGGGCCAAAGTGAAGGCAAGCTACACATTTCCAGGCAAATCCTGTTAAGTGATATTCTTAATGCCATTCAGACATAACAGAAAAGTTCACCAGTTTCATTGTTGGAAGTGCACGGGGCCTTAGGTTTGTGTTCACTGGTCTTCTCAACCTGGCTCTCCTACGTCTCTCTCCAGAATGAAGTGTCTATGTTAAAAAACGAGGTGGCGCAGCTGAAACAGTTGTTGCTAACGCATAAAGACTGCCCAATAACAGCCATGCAGAAAGAGTCGCAAGGATATCTAAGTAAGTCATTGACTTTCTTGCTGTTTTTAATGTTCAGTGTTTCGCTTCTAATTTTGCATTCAATTGTATTGAAGGAGCTAGAGTAAAGTGTAAGTTGTACATCCAGGCAGGCACACTAGAACTCGGATGGCTACCAGACAATGCCACCAGAGGCAGGCCTCTTTTCTGACCCCCGGGCATCATCATGCCCACCACCTCCCGATAATTTCTGGCTAGACTTTCCCTGGCATTTCACATTGTAAAACCCGACCAAATTCCAACTCTGCAACCAGTAGAAAAATGGCCTGCTGGCGCCCAATTACCATGGGCTAGCAATCTTCCAGAGAAATCCATGGGCTGGCAAACAGGCCTTGGGTGTATCACATCCAATGCCTCGGGATACACACCATGTTATTCACTGAGCTAAAAAACTGGTGACCTTGCCTCAGTTTATCAATACATAAAGTGGATCCCTTTTCTTAGACCCCAACTTCTGCAGCTGGAATGTCAGTATATTGGTTAACTATTATTTGAGTAGGGGGGGTGGGAGGTGCAGGGACTCATGGCTGAAGGTCAATTTATTTTCAAATAATTTTTTAGATTGAGCAACACAGAGTCTCCCACCACATGTGAGTATTTTTCCACATTTGATGTATGGACGGCTATTTGAAAATACCAGGTGGGGAATGTCACATCCCGAGACTCAAACACATCGAACCATTCCGCTGATCTAGAAAGCATGGCTTTGCTTGTAGCTCTAAACTGGGAAGGCATAGCTTTGTGACTACCCTTTAAAGTTCTGAAATTAACCCCCAGGAGAACATGTGTGAAAACACTTCTATTTCTAGTAATCATCTAGTAGTATTTTTCTAGACTTGAGTAGCCCACAAGTCACCCAGGAAAGAGCTATATCGGGGTGTGTGTGTTTTTTCCTAGGTCCGGAGAGCAGCCCTCCCGCGAGCCCGGTCCCCGCTTGCTCCCAGCAGCAGGTCATCCAGCATAACACCATCACCACTTCCTCGGCCGTCAGCGAGGTGGTAGGGAGCTCCACCCTCAGCCAGCTCACCACTCACAGAACAGACCTGAATCCGATCCTTTAAAAACCAGGGCTCGGACCTTGCCTCCAAGAAGAGCTGCCGCGTCCCATGCGTCCTTTCCTTGAAGGGCATTTTTAGAATTAACTCAGACCTGGAAGACTCCTCAGCTCTTCAGAGACTGGCTTTCGTTTTTACAGTCATCATGGAAATGTTGTCTTTTATACTTAGTTCTATGAGAAAAAAGGGAGTTATGCAATTACTATCTATCAGCTTGGGAAATGCTTTGGTGCTTTTCTCCAGTTTTCTGGTACCAGTTACATGTTTATAAACTGAATGCTTTCTGTATATAGTCATGGTTTCATTAGCAGTCCAACCCTTTGCCTGAGACATTGACTCTTGTTGTTAAGCCGCAGCTTATAGCCAAAATGAGGCATGCTTAGATGTCAACAGATGCAAGGCAACTGGGTGAGATGTCTGATGATATCATAGTCCGTGTTGAGCTTGTGCTGTGATGTCACCAGAATCCCAGATAAACACAGAGCCTTTTCCACAGCTTTGTTTCTCTTACTATAAAAAGCGTAAGATCCATTGATGTCCAAATAACACCACCAGGCATCTCCCCACCCCCACCCCCTGCTCCCCTTGGCCCACTTCCTCCAGTGCCCACTTCCTTCTCCGTTTCCACTCCTTGCTGGGCTCCCTGTTTGTATCTTTACTTTCTTCTGCTTTATTTTCCCCCTTGAGCATTGCATGTAAAGAAGAAAATAATGTTTAAAGAAAACAAAAAAGCGAACCTCAGCAATGCAGACCTCGCCGTCGCTCCCCTTGCCCTTGCCCCGCAGCTGGAGTTCATTCAACTCGTGCTTCTTACAAAATAGTAACCAGGAGATGTTTAATGTGCCTGATTTAATGTTTTTAATAATCAGAGCAAATAAAAAGTGGCTTAGCCATAGGTGAAGCACTGTTGAGCGCCAGCTGTGGAGACACTAGGGAAGGAGCCGTGTAAGCCTCGATTGTGAAAGTCCAAATCATGATGCGAGGCTAAAACATCACACCCTCAAATCACAGCTGGTTTTATATGGCCTGTCTATAACGTCAAAAACCCATGTACTATATAATAATTCAGAAGGGCTCTATTCACTACACAAATTACATTGTTCAATCATCAGCTACTAATAGCCTAAGATTTATTGTTGTGTGTGTTTTTTCTTAAGCCTATGGAACCAGCTTTGCTGTTCTGGTGGGTGAAAGTAGATGAACTAGTGGAGGAACAAAGAGAGAAAGAAAACCTAATGTTCCATTGGGGCACTTCCCGCCCTCCCACGGCAGTGAAAGAAAGGACCCCATGGACATGGCTACTCCACTCTCCCGAACAATTCTGATTTACATTTTCAACAACTTTTGTGGAATTGCCCATTCTACAAAGCAGATAGTTCCAAACCACAGTTGTGCCTCCTTGAATCAAGCCATTCTACTGTGCTAATGTTTTAATATCACATCTCACAAATAACCAGGCTAATGTTTCTCTTTAGCAGTCTAGACAGGTGCTGGTGTTTCATCTCCATTTGAATGCTTGACCTCCTAACATGAGTGAGTGTGTGTGTGTGTGTGTGTGTTCATGGGATTTAAAGGAATAGTATTTTACAAAAGGTGTAGCTTTTATAAGAGTTCAGAAAAAGGAAGGACGTGTGTGTTTTTTCTCTCACTATAGTGTAAGAATCTATTTTGGAGAAAAAAGAAAATATGAGAGTTGCGAAGCATGATTTTTATAACTAGTTTCAGTTTTATCTACTAACTTACTTTTTAAATCAGTATTTATCAACAATCTTTTCATGTATGCAGTGCTTTCGAAAGAAACTTTGGAGTATCCAGTGAAACTCATGACTTGGATATATGGTCTAAAAATCAAAGCAAAAACAAACAAAAAAAAGAAAACAAAAAAAAGAAAAGGAAAAAAAATGTAAACAAAAAGGATTTTCTATTATATTTTAGACGAACATATCATTTTTAAGTATTTTAAATACTGAATTCAAAGTTGTTTTTTGTTTTGTCTTGTTTTGAATCCCAGCAGTAACAGTTGAGTGGTTTAACCTAACTGGCTTCCTAAGAAACATTGAAGATTTAGCTAAAAAAGAAGTTAATGTTCTTATCTCTTTATTGAAATGAAAAATAACTTTTCATAACTCCTGCCTAGGACTATCTATGTGTCCCTCTACAAAGGAAAAAGAGCTCATTGAAATGTTTGTTTGGGTTTTTTTTTTAATTTTATTTTTTTTGCTTTAAGTAAACAAAAACTTTTCTTTCTTTACTGCATGCATAGCACTTACGAAATGGATTTTTAAAAAATCCACTGGTGATACCAGAATGTCCAGGGAGTGGGTTGTCACTAAAATTATGGTTTACTGTTGTTCCACCTCTTGACTGAAATATTTAGTTGCTAAACCCAAAGCCTCTGCAGTTAAGAACTTGCCTGAGTTTCCTTAGTTCAGCAACTTGACAGTTTGACTGATGTGCATTATATATAGCTCAATTATGTCTGTTCTTTATGCTAAGTAGGCGAACCAGCCACACACGTTGGCCAGCGGGCCTCAGCGTATAATTAGAAGGAACTGTCTTCTTGTTACATGCAGGGCCGTTAGGTGTGTTCATTAGCATTGTGGAAACAGTCAATGGAAGATGCCAGCACGTTCTCAGGGCTTGAAATCCCAAACAGAAAGGCTCATTGGTCACATCCAACACTCGGCTTATCAATATGAAGTGATTTCCCTTGAAGGCCCAGCTTTCTCCGGACTATGGAACAATCAGTCCTCCCTCTTGCCCTACACTTTTTGCCAATCTGGGAAAATGTCTTTCTCCCCCATTCTTCTCTCCCACTGAATTACTGGTCACCCCTCCATAATTTCATGAATCGGTTGCAGTGATCTTCAGAGCATTCACCCCGAGGGCTCTGCAGCACTGCCCTCCTCGCCCCCTTGGCATATTTTTATCGGCAGGATGTGCTTCTGAAGTCACTGCCAGCCTACCTGGAAATTTCTACTTTTTTCCTCCCCTGCCTTTTGTGATGGGAGTTAACACCTTTGAAAAGTACACCTGGTAGTGTTTCTACCCGCTGAATCCTCCCCGAAACTGAGGCATCCACATCTGAATTGTTTCTCCTTAACAACATAGGCAGGCACAGGTATGGTGGAAATCCTAGCCTTGGATGAATGCACTTGTTTCAAAGCCAGGTGTTAGGTCAGAAGTCTTC